AGCGCCGTGAGATATTCGGCGAGTCGCATGAGGGGTGCGCTGCATCCTGCTATGGGTGTTCGGCATCTTGTGCTTACTTCCTTGCGTACGGATGACAGCTGCGTATGACTTAATTTATTTTCTGGTGCTTTCACCTCTTGCGACAGTTGTAAGCACTGTGTAACTGCCACGAGGGCGCTTGACCATTTTTACACAACGTGGTGCGATCATCCCCCTTGCGCGGAGTGAGGGTTCTCGACCCCGCACAACATGATCTACTCGACCACCATTATGGTTACCGCCACAAAAAAAACAGAGGTAAGAAACACAAACGGTAACCTGGTTGCTGAGTTCACGAAGTGAATTGGCTTGTGTTACAACGTCGTTGCCAAGCGACGAAAACCCAATCCCGATGGCAAACACCGAGGGGGGGGCTTGTTTTACACCGTCGTTGCCAAGCGACGAAAACCCAATCCCGATGGCAAACACCGAGGGGGGGGCTTGTTTTACACCGTCGTTGCCAAGCGACGAAAACCCAACCCCGATGGCAAACACTGGGGGGGTCGGGCGCATAACCCGCACCAAGAGTTGAAGGTTTGAACGGTCAACCTTCCTTCCCTTAACCGCTGCTTCCCCGTCCTTGCCTCCCCCCCCCATGTGGGAACACAGCTCCGTCTTGAGGACGCGTGGTCAATGGTCTAGCCGCTAAGGCATGCAAAACATATAAGAGTACGCCGCCGCCGCCCCCCCCCCCCTCCTCCTCAACAACATTACCTCACCACAGGGCACCCCGGCGAAGACGGCACGAAGAGCACTGCTGCACGAGACGATGCAGAAGAGGACTAGCGAGAGCAAGCCCCGACAGGGTATCTTCGAGACGTTGCGCCAGGTGAACCAGTAAGGCTGAGTATAGATTTTGTAGTTTTTCTATGTCTGTTTGGTTCATTGGGTTCGCTGGGCTCTTCGAGTCAGAAAAACACGCCTGCTGTGTGATCCACACGAACACATGCTTTACTTTCATCTTGCATCAGGCCTTGGATGACACTGCTAATGCTACAATTCTGATGAGCCCACTCCGGGGGCGCGCCTTGTAGGTCGTTTTGTTTCGATGATTCGGTGAGCGTAAAGGGTGTGTGGTGCGCTGGGGCTGAGTGTGTTTCAAGCTTATCGTTCGTTCGAGTCGCACCGCATATATTCATTACCGCTCCCAAGTTTTACCTACTCCTGTGCGGTGTCTTGTTACTGTAAAGTACCGAACATGCTATTACTTTCGAAGGAGTGGAGTGGGCCGCGGGGGGGGGGGGGGGG